GCATATAGAGAAAATTAATGACCCCCTGGGGGCCAATTTTGACCCCAGGGCTTTTATTTGAACAAACTTTGTAGACACTCATTAGAAGATGTTTTATGCTAAATATCTTAGCTCTAGCTCTTTGGGTTCTTTAAAAGAAGATTTTTTAAGTTTTTACTATATGCATATAGGGAAAATCAATGACCCCCTGGGGTGGGGCCAATTTTCACCCCAGGGCTTTTATTTGAACAAACTTGATAGACACTCACTAGAAAATGTTTCATGCCAAATATCTAAGCTCTAGCTCTTTGGGTTTTTTAAAAGAAGCTATTTAAAGTTTTTTCTTTCGGTTGCCATGGCAACCAGAGTTCTTCATGGAATTAAATTCTTTGAACAATTTTTAAAGGTGACCACCAAAGGAACATTCCTGTGAAGTTTGGATGAAATTGGCTTTGTGGTTTATGAGGAGATGTCATTTAAAGTAAACGTTTACGGACGGACGGACGACGGACGGACGCCGAACGAAAAGCGATCACAAACGCTCACCCTGTCATTTTGTGACAGGTGAGCTAAAAAGGACATGACTCTCCTAATTTATTGTATTTATGAATTTTCATAATGTTTACTATAAGTACATTTTCTCGGACATTTCAGATACTTTCAGCGGTCAATTTCCATAAAAACATGGTTGCGTAGTAGCTCTAATTTTGTCGAGTGTGTACATGTAAAATGTATAGGACAGTTCTTTCTTAGACTACTTAAATTGCTCTGAAATTTAAGTTATGTTTCACAATACTTCTTGCATTCTGATCTCATTACATTTTCTAGTGAACAGTTAATTTTACAATATACAATATTACATTAACTCTGTAAATAATAAAATGGTAAGAGACAAAGTATATATGTGTAAAAGATAATTATCCATCTATAATCGAATTTCTTCTTTAACCTATTTCTGCATGAGCCTTTTGTGAAAAATGACTGATGTCATTGAAAAACATCCTGTTTCAAGTTCAAATTGTTATGAACCTAATAAAAAAGGTTTCAATGATGTTAAAGCCTGACACAAATGTTGACTGGACCATAGCCTTTGTTACGGCATACTCAATCTTAAATTTCCTGTTACCATGGCAACGAGGGGACATCTCAGGATTGCCAACAAAACACATTTTTGCGCTGATGTTTTCCATCAAAAGTGCAGCAAATTTTCATTGGATTGAGCTAGAGTCAAATGATTTTTCAGCGTTGGTTACACATTACCTTAAAGTTGACAAACCCAACTTTTTCTTTGGGGTGAGGGGGTCTGCTGCCCCAGCCCCCTTTAAACCCCCATGAAGAAGGGGCACATCCCCACTCTGGCATCCCCTCTTGATGTATCTATTTGATAGGGGATGGCGCCGAAAAAATGATCAATACTTACACCATTTCTCAAACGAAAAAAAGTGTTTGGAATCTAAAAAATGACATTTTTCACTTTTTGAGGCCTCAAAGGGGGGGGGGGGGCTGAAAAGGCGTGAAAAAACGTCTATATAAATAATGGGCTAAATGCCATTAAGTGGATGTCCTGATGCATCTATGGTCATGTGTCAAGCTTTAGAACAATTTCAGCATAAGTACATCACACTGGCGCAAAATCCCAAATATTAGCGGTAAGGCGCCATGCGCTTACTTTTAAGAAATCTTAAGTATCAGTTAGAACAATTAAGAAGCCTTGCCAAAAGAAAAAAATAATTTTCATATCAAATTTACAAGGGAAAGGGCCCATTATAGAGTGATATTGTCTATAATGATTGTTCAAGTTTTACCCTTATATCAAACAAAAAAACATTCAACATTAAATTGATTTGGACAGTATAAGAAGAGTCCGAAATGCAATGTTAAATATAATTTGTAAAATGTCTTACCTATTATATTGTCAAAAATTACTTTCATTTAAAAAAATTTGAACACTCCAAGGTTACACCAAAAACCATTGACGGCTCCGTGATCGTGATACCTGCGACTGTTTGAGATACCTTTACATTTAAAGTACATTTTTGCTTATTACCCTTTAGATCAAACACATAATTATCACCCAAGTAGTCCCTTAAGCTAATGATTTAAAAGAGTCATCATGCTTCTGCAGATGTTAATGCACGTAAAGGGGTATATTAACCCTCTATTAAATGATAAAACGGTTAGCATAACAATTTAAAGTAACTGAAGATTCATATCAGAGCGCAATGTGTCTGTGATTGTCGTCCCAAAATGAATTACTTTTATGTTTTCATTTATTTATCTGATTGTCATAATATTTCAATATCATGCAAAATGTCGGTACAACATCTCACATGTCGTAACGCAAACTGTTTTTTATTTTTATCATGTTATTGTTATCTATGCATACAAAAAATGATAGTATATTATAAGCAATCACAATCCGTGGTACTTTTAAACTGAAAAGAAGAAACTAATGACTTCTTCGCCGGGTCATTCGTTTATTGGTGTTTAAGATCCTGTATGTTGTAATAGAGGTTGCATACAACACTTAACTGAAATTGTATATATGTATATAATCATGCTTATAAAACAATTATCAAACATCGAAGAATATGTAAAATATGTACTGCAAATATTTGTACATATTATATGTAATCATTAAAATATATGCATTTCTTATTGAAAAATTTGACAAAGACTTTATAAAAAATATTTTTATTATCTCCCTTTATTCAAATGAAATGTTAAATTCGGTAAAATATTTTTAAATGATGCTTTTTTGAACTTACAAAAATTGAAAAATCTTAATTTGAGCATCATAATTATGTATGATATAAACCATGAAAATTGAGTTCAGGATCTTTAAACATATTTTGTATTTATTATAAAAAATACAGAATAACTAAGGCATCATCAAAGAGAAGCATCATGCATGCACACATATGTGAAAATCCATTTTGATTTTGTCAAGTGAAACGATGTCAATGAATTTATATAAGTAACGTTTTGTTTCAAAACGAAAACACAAAAAGATAGTTCTAACTGATCATTCTATACCCGCACTTATCTAGTTGTTCGTATCTTCTTTTTACTTACTTCTTACAAAACATTATTACAAGCACAACAATTCAATGAATGATCGTATCAGAACAAGTTTTGGTTGGTGCACAATTGGTAACTATTTGCTTCATTACTTAAATACTACATTCTTATTAAATGATACCATTTTGTATGCAATAAGTTCGGATGTCATCATACGTTTGATGTTTAATCATATCCCTTGCAGTCTCTCTTCCATGCCTATCTCTCCAACGTAAAAATTGGTCGACATCACTATCTGATGGGGGACTAAATTGAGCAGGAATGGAATTCACGTCCGTGGTTTGCATAGTTATTTGATTATAAGACGAAGTCTGTTGGCTTCTCTGGTCCCTCATAAGGTCTTTTGAAGCATATACGTGTGCGTTATAACTTTTATGCAGAATTTTTCCTTCATTGTTTTCCTTTGTTACTAGTTTACTTGCAACATCTTTCTTTTGTTCACTAGAGGGTATGGCCATTTTACTCCGTTCATTTGTAATACCTTGAGCTATTCCTTTGCATAGAACCGGTACATTCTCGTGCAGTAAAACAGCTGGCCAAACAAGAAACGCAACTCTATCCCCACGTATTGTGTACGCCTTATAAAAAATTGTATTGAATTTTTCACCTTTTGTAACGATTCGTCCAAATGCAAGAGGTGGATCCTGAACCTGTTTGAAAGACATAACACAAACTTGACATAAACTATTAAGATGTGATCAAAAACAATTAACGGTCATGTACTTAATTTACGAGTTAATTTGTGTCATATCATAAATTTCTACGCGTTGGTAACGATGATGATCATATGCAAAGTATTAAGATAAACTAGTTTATTAAGACAGCAAAAGAACTTAAACATTCAATTGAACTTATAAAACTTAAATAGTTTAACTGCCGGTGGCTCTTATTTTGTATTTTGAAAAAAAATATTTTATTAATTCATAAAACATATTCAAATCAGAGCAAACGCATTACAGAAACGCTACATTAGCAGGTTCAGGGAAAAATGCTGAGAGATAAGCTTAAAAACACATCATGTCTCAAAAATGAATTATTTTTTCATCCTTTAGAAAAGGCAAACATGTATTTTATAACGTTTAGATAATGGTTTTAAAACATTGTAGATGCTTTCCCGTGATAAAGATAACGCTGGATGTGAAATTCTCTGTCATAAGGTAGCAAAATATGTACAAAGTATTGTGATTTCCACTCAAAATACTAAATAACTATACTTTTACTAGTTGCCAAAAATGCAATAGACGCAAAAAAATGGTTCAGGTGTTTTGAAAATTACTAACCTTTTTCTTTGAAAAATATAATAGGACATAAAAAATTAAAAGCTTTGAAAAAGGAAAATGAAAGCACTTCTTGGGCATAATGAGCCTTTAACCAGATAACTCTTATATAATTATATAGTCTAAAAAACTATCTTGGCACTCACCACCATGAGCCAGCATACTTCGAAACAGCTTTTAACAAATTCTGGAGCTGCATGGTGTATCGTCTGATATTTCTTCAATGGAATGGTAAAAAGACACTTTTTAAATGAAACTATATTCAGAAAGACTTAGTATCAGGAGCTTTTCCTTAAAATCAAAGGGAAATTTTTCCATAACTCTTGAATGTAGGGCTTCTTGATTAAAGGTCAACACAATGGAGTGACAATTAAGATATTTCATTTTACAAGATAGTTAATACAATATATAAAACATTTCAGCATACTGTAATAACTTATTGATTAAAATCAATTTGAAAAAATATTTTCTACATGACAACATTTGCAACGTCGCGTACTTGTGTGATAGCTGTAGTACTTTTGAGAAACATAACACTTTATCGCCCGAACCCACCCCCCCCCCCCCCTACCTCCCCTAATAAAGAAACATAAATTATAACATATAATGCTATGGAGTTTTTACATGGCACAGTGATTGAGCTAAAATTACTGAACATTTTGTTGTTATACCTGATATAACTGTTTGCCAGAAAATACTGCTACATTTCGCTGAAAGTCTTTTATCAGTTTCTTTACTGACGAAGGCAAGCTATTTTCATTCTAAAATTAAGATAATTCATAAATGACATCGCATTTAAGTATAATGATATTATCCAGAAATAAACATTCAGATAAAATCAAACGACAATGGAGTGAAACATAGATTAGACAATAAAGGTCATATGACGCCGGAACAGGAAAGGTGAGTTCGGCAAACCTCGTTAAAGTGGAATTACCGATTTTTCGTGCACTAATATCTGTACAAACAGGAGAACTTCTGCAGATGTTAATACACAAAAAAATTGTGCATTATATCTTCATTAATTGATATGGATTTTTGGGAATAGACAATTCCAACGAGACTAGAAGAAGTACAGAAAGAATTTGTCAGGTACCCTTAGTTTATGATGTTCAATAAGTGTCCAATATATTATATGAATAGATGTTTTGAACTCGGTAATTTAAAATGACGCTTTAATTTTGAAGACAATGTGCATCTGCATTTACATTTAAAAATCATCTGTTGCAAACTCTAGTATTTCACGGGTTACCTTTAACAAGTGTTGCACAAATATATCACAAAACAGTAGACAGGTTGTATATATCAAGCCGAAAGGAAATTGAAAATTGCAGTATTTACCGTAGAACCCTGTGTGACTGCCATTTGTATATCCTTTCTCTGTCGATTTGCCTCTTTTTCACAGAAACGATAAGCATCCTTTAAAAGTTTAATAAAATGTAATGAGTCAACTACAGGAGGATGGTTAATTTAATTAATGATTTCCTTAAGGACATTCTACGTTCGCGTTCGGAGCAACAATATTAAAATATAACAAATCAGGACATATCCTGCAGTTAATGGAATTCGAACTCTTTTTTCTGGTTAAATATTATTAATATATTGCTTTTGGTTAAACATTATTTTGAGGTTATAATTATGGAACATATTTTTTAAATTGTATATGTGATTTTTAACTTTTCTTTTGGATATATATATATGTATCCTTGAGTATTATTACATTTTTATTATGAAATAATTGATAAATGACTGCAATTAATATATAAATTGTTTATGTGATTCTCATTGTTAAACAAATCTTTTCCACTTCTTTTCTTTAATATTTAGATAACATACATAATAGTCGCAGGGAAAACTAACCAATAAAATGTTCAGTATTTTTTTCAATTGTGTTTTCTTCACTTCCTTTGTATAACTTATCTATACTGTCAAATGCATCTGTCCATTGATTATCGTATAGTTCTTGAAATCTTTCGGCAAGTTTTGTTGGTCGGTCTTGGTCGCTTAAATCTGTAACCTGCGGATTATTATCTGTCAAATTGTCCGAAAATGTTTTACTCAGCCTATGAATGAAGTGATATAAACAAATTTAAATTCGACTTGTTTGGATAACAATAAAAGGACAAAAGATATCTTATAAGTGCTTTGACATTGTGTAAGCTCTTATAGCATATGAGTACATGTAACTAAGCTTTGTTTTGAGTGCATACTTTTAAAAATAGTTACTATTGTTTTTTGTTAAGGATTATTTTTTTTTCCAGATTTTAATAGTAGAGCTAAATAAACTTTACCTTCAAGTAGATGCAATTTATCATGTGCATGTGTTGAGATGGCCTTAAAATACGTTTTAACAACATTTTACTCATTAAAAGTAAAAAATACCTATTATGCGTATCTTTAAGCTCGTCTTTTGTTTTCCTCAGTTCTTTTTCAGTTTCCCTTAGTTGTTTTCAGTATTATCAAGTTGGTACTTTGTTTCTTTCACCACGTGACTCTGCTCTGTCTTTTTGGAAGAATTGTACATCGCCAATTTCTTCTGTTGCATCTGAATGGTTTGCTGTAGTTTGCGTTCTTCATCCTGATATTTTCTATCAGTTTCCTTCCTTTGTTCATCCAATTTCTTGACCTGTTCCCGAAGATCATCATTTTCTTGTGAAAGACTTTTAATCGTGCTCTTCCTTATATCAGTCGATTCCTTGAAATCATTATGAGTGATTAATGAAGCTTTTGTTCGGATGCATGTTAATTAAAATAAGGATTAGGAAAATGTTGTGAAAACCCTTTTTCAAAGAACATACGCAAATAATGTAAAGACAGTCAAACGAATTTAACAAAAATGCATTTATGGATGAACAGAAATCGTCTTAAAAGGCGCAAAAGCCGCTTTTCCGTAAGAAACATTTTAGTTGGATACTGCATAGTACGATAAATTTAAAAATTAATTGCATTAGTAATGGTTTACTTGGATTGCTTGAAAGTTTACATTTTCCTACTTGAAATACTCTATAATTTTATAAGTGTTGAATGTCCTCAGGAAAGAAATCAGCAATCTTCTTGACGTATGCTAATTTTCATAAACATTTTGAAAATGTATTTGAAAGTAAACTATTTTAAATTGAACACAGAAAGTAATATACACATCGCAAACTGCACTTACAAGCCACGTCAATTACCAAAAAAGACAAAATACGCAAAAAATGTCCGTTAAGCAGTACAGAAATGTTGATTAGGACTGCAATATCGGACATGTAAAATTTATTCATTCAATCTTTAAGTTGAATCTTTTTGCCTTTCTTAAAGATAAGAACAGTTTTCTCATGTTCTTTTCTTTGATATATTTTAAAATTGGCTCATCTGTAGGCATGCAGTTTTAATAAGACATTTGTGTATTTGTATAAGACGGCAAAGAAGGAAAAATAAAATTTGCAGAGGATTTTATTTCACATTCAATTTGCATGATTAAAGACAATCAAGATTGAAGGGACAAACTAAAACTATTTTCAGTTCAATTGAATTTTCACTATTCTTAAATTACAGACAATAATAACACTCACCGAAAACTGTATTTCTTGTTTGGCTTTTTCGACCAATTCTGGAACTTTGTCGTCAGTAATTGTAACAATTCTTGCATGCTTGATTGACAATGTTCAACTTTCTCAAAGTCCTCATCAGATGTAGAATGTTTGATAGTTGATTTAGAACAAACTTGATTCACATCTGTTGAAGGTCTAAGAGTATTTTAAATAATAAAGAAATGAATGAAGAACATGTTCACGAAATATGAAATGACAAATACTGCATTAGAAACCTTCTCATTGAATTTCGTATTTTCCTACATGTGAAAAAGTGATACAGAACAATATGTTTATTATGTTATTTACTTGATGACGGCCCGTGCTGAAGTTGATTTCAACGTACAATGAAAATAAAAGAACTTTATTCTTGTTTATAGATATGGCGCTAACATATATTCTTACACGAACCTTCAAAATACACCTAGCCTTAATAAATTAGAGATATTACATTTAAATAGTACGAGGTTTTATTCTTAAGAAGTCTCAAATGTACAACTTGCAATGACTAACTGAATGATTGTGAAAGTTTTAAACTAATATCTTTTTATTAAATTATAGATATCATTGAGATAAGTTGTCGGAGTGATTAGTAACTACTGGTGGGATATCAAGGAAACCTAACCCGGCAGCCCAACCGCCGAGATATGTCTACAAATGTGTTAAATTCAGCTGAAAAAACAAACAAACATAAGTCATTAAGAAGTCAAATAGGCATTATTTGTCTATCAAATTGATAAAAAAAAAAGAAATAATTGATATAATTGAACCACAATGATACATATGCCTCATCATGATACATATGCCTCAGCATAGCTCAATCGGTTAGAGCGCGAGACTTGTAATCTCGACATTGTGGGTTCGATTCCCGGTCTGGCCAACTAAAATTACTAAATTACTAATCAGTCTTTCGGATGAGACTTTAAATCGAGGTCCCGTGTATGGGTGCTTAAACACTTGGCACGCTAAAGAACCAGGAGAAGCTTCTGGAATTGGGGCATCTTTCTGTATCTGTAATTGCACTATCCTCCAAAATCTAAAATGACTAGTACTCTTCTGGGGGACTCGCCCATATGGGCAACCGGTGGCGAGTATAAATAAACGCAAATACGCACACATTACCGAAGCTCTGCTGTTACATGTAAGAATCGTTCGTTAACACCTGTAGTGAAAAACATGTACAATACAGACAGAGGTGGGAAGAGAGGTCGGTGGGCAAAATGAAAATTAAAGTTATAAAATGATTTTATTTGCTTTTCTCTACATAAACGGTCGGCGGTCCCGTACAAAAGCTTTGCTTTATGTTGGGATAAATGTTATTGGTGGCACTAGTTATGAATAGAACTTTCCGTTTTGGATTGTGGAGACTGCACTGTAGTGTTGTGTTTGCATAATCTTAAGAAATATTTTGTAAACTGCTTATCAAAAGTGCGGAACACAATGCATTTCCATATGTTTTGCGTTATGTTGCGGCAACTACCAGACTGAGTATAATTATGCTCTTCATTATGCGTACTCAAGATTTATCTTAAGATGTTGGCAAATATAAGTCTCTGTACGGCGAAAACTAATACAGTTGTGTTGGTGACTTTAGTCTAGCATGTGATCAAAAAATATAATACAAACAGTTATAGAACCTATTAAAAACAATAACACTAGTTTAGTGTTTTATAAAATATACTTCTTAATAAGAGATTATTACATTAATAAGTTTTGGTCATATTAAAAGTTCTGAAAATGTCTTCTTCCTTAGTAGCTTGTTAATCCTACTTACATGTAGACAAAATTAGTGTCAAGAAAGTGAAATCTAAGCGAGTATGACAGGCAAAAAATAGTTTTTTTAGGTTCAAAAATTTGTACTAAAGTAGTCTTCAGTCGGGAATATCTTCTATAAGAGTCATTCTGTCTTTGATGTGTATACGTCGTGGATTAGTTTGGCTGGAGTACGATGGACTTGCTAATTATCATTCCTACATGATTGAATATGCTTATGTAATTACTCACCGGATTGTGATGTTTAGAATGTTCCATTGAGGCTTTTGTTGGCATATATTGTTCAATACTGATGTTCCATGTGATGTAGGTTTGGTCTAGTGTTACCTTGAATGTGTGCAAAATTTAGATTTATATCATGTCGCTCTTTTTCCCCATTATTTTATTTTTTTATTTTGAAAAATGACAGAATGATTAATATCATCATAGATTTCGGTATGTGATAACTTGTTCTGAGATGTGATTTTGCAAACTCGAAAAATGTGATCTATTGTTAGGTTTGAACAGACATTCTTTTTAAAGTGCTATAAAAGTCGGCGATACTTTGTAGGTATTTTTCTACAAAATATTGTTATGCTAAATCATGTTCCTTAAGATTTATATAAAATGTATTATATTCCGAATTTCTTTCAGCGATGATTGCGTATAATCAGGTATAGAATTATTCATAAGGTCCCTCTAAAGTAAGTTTCTACCTTTATTTATAAATATTTATTATAAAATATTACTCGTTAAGACAAAATTCCAAATTGCAGTAAAATAAATAGACAATTAAATTCAAACCAGTTTACATGGTATTACCAGTTCTTGTTAATTTCGATATTTTAATTCTAACAAACTGTTTAAACATTGTCTTGGTCGACAAAATGTTTGTTAACTTTGATTTACATAATACAATTAATGTTCGTCTATAATTACAGTCAACTATCCTTATCTCGACATAGCTTTTCGCGATATTTCGTTATCTCGATGAAATTTTTGAAGTACCGATTTTCTTCCTTCTTTACCTTTTAAAAAATTATTGGATAATTTGTTTATCTCGATAATTTTATTTCGATATTTTTAGTCTTAAGCTCAAACAATTATTTTCACACTTTTATCCTTTGTTTATCTCGACTTATAATTTTGCGTCTGTTCTCTGCACGGTTGTGAAAAATCAAAAAGCAGACAATAATCGCTCAATTATGCGTGTCATAATGATAATTATGTATGAAACAAGTCGAGCTGAAGATGACACAGCGCATGGTGGAATGATTTTTAGAGGGTTCCTGTAGCAATAAAACACACCGTGTTATCCTAAGGGAATACAGAAAAACTCACAAAAACCACAGGCCTTTTAGGGGGTATTTATAGCAATAAAACCCACAGTGATAGCCTCAGGGAATGCAGTAAAGCTCACACAAACCGCGATAAAAAACTTTTTATAGTGTTTCTATCGAAATAAAATTCATTGTGATAGCCTGGGGTATGAGAGAAACGCTAACACAATGCACGGTGATGTGTCTTTTGGAAGGTTCTTATAAAATAACAGCGTTGATAGACTCAGGCTATACAGTAAATCTAACACAAACAACATTTATTGCAATATGACCCATGGTGATAGCCTCAGGGATTACAGTAAATTTTTACATAACCAACGGTAAAGGGTCGTTTAGCTGATTTCTGGGAATAGAGTAAATCTGACACAATCCACTTTGTAAGATATTTTAGATGGTTTTTATTGCAATAAAACCCACGATGAGACCTATGGAATACAGTTAAATTCACACAACCCAGGGTAACAGGCCTTTTAGTGGGTTCTCGTCGCAATGAAACCCACGGTGATAATATTTCAGAATAGAGGAAAGTTTACACTATCCCCAGGGAATACAGTACGGCTCCAACAAACCGATTTGTTATTTAAGAGGATATTTATAGCATTACAACCCACGGTGATAGCCTCAAGGAACATACGATGATAGGCCTTTTAAATGGTTCTCATCGCAATAAAATTGATAAAAATTAAAATTGATATATTTAGGGAATACAGTAAAACTCACATAACCCAGGCCTTTTAGAAGATTCTTATCGCAATAAAACCCTAGGTGATAGCTTTAGGGAATACAGTGGCGCTCGCACATTCCATGGTCATAAGCCTTTTAAAGGGTTCATTTCGTATTTCCTCTTTGTAAAGGAATATTGAATGAGAAAAACGGAAGTCTCTTTAATTCTTATTTAATACCAAATCAAATATATTAGTTCATTCCAACACGAGGGGTTAGAGTTGATGACTTCTAATCCAGTTACCTCTCTGGCGTGGGTTTGATCACCGGGAAATGCTTTGGTAGTTTAGCCCGGAGGAAGGTAATTTAGTACTGGTGTAACTCTTCAGGAACGATGGCTAGGAAACTACCCGCCTATATGACTGAAATACTGTTGGGAAAAGGCGTAAAATGAAACAAACAAACAAATCATCCCAACACACATTTACCTATTGTTAAGCCAACCTCTTCTTTCAATTTCTCTCTGTGAGTGTTTTGTCCACATTTGTTTTCGTCAAAGATAAGTGAAATAAAAAAAATCCATGGTGTAAATTTTTGTTAAAATTATAAATACTATCGATACATGCATTGAATGGAAGTTTTTGGATATTACTTAAAGATCCTGTATGTTGTAATTAAGGTTGTTACAATTGTTTTTCATGCGTTTATTTAATGTCGCCGCTGGAAAGCCCATATGGGCGACCGTACACTAAAGTCGGGCCATCCTAGAGCTTCCCGTCGGTTTTTTTCGTCTTTTTCAGCTTTTATTGGTGGTGGAAGACCGCAGGTGCCCCTCCGGGCATTATTTAAGGCACGAGCGGGCACCTAGGTAGAGCCACCGACCTTCCGTAAGCCAGCTGGATGGCTTCCTCACATAAAATATTTCGACCCGAGTGAGGATCGAACCTACAGCGGTGAGGGACATGTGATCTCAAGTCAGCGACCTTAACCACTCGGCCACGGAGGACCCTAAGTCTAACCACACTTAAGTGAATTCTTATATATGCATATAATTATGCTTCTAAAACAATTTTCAAACATCGAAGACTATGTAAATTATGTACTGCAAATATTTGTGCACATAGTATGTAATCATTAAAATATATACATACTGTCATTCATTTCTTATTGCAAAATTTGACCTAAACTTTATAGAAAATAAATTTCTGATTACCTCCCTTTAATAACATGAAATGTAAATTTGGTAAATTCTTTACAAATAATGCTTTTTGGAACTTACAATATTGATAAATTTTCAATTGAGCATTATATTTATGATATTAAACCATAACAACTGAGTTAGAGAATCTTTAATAAATTTAAGGAAGACGTTTTTTTCTGAACGAACAAAAGGTGTCGTTCTATACATAAAACGTCTCACTGACAGGTCTTTTTTTAAATTCTTTTAACGTGCTGGGTACCATTTGGCTTTGTTGTTTTTTACTATTGAAACTTATGTCTTTCATTTGCCCACACCCAGCACTTACTGTACACTTCCGCACCGAGCAAATTTCTTGCCCGAGAAAATTCTGAACGATCAGCATAACGGAAAAAGAGTCTCATATCACTGGCTGATGGCTCATCCTCATACTCTGTCTTTTTCGGAAGACTCTGATGTTCATGGTCCCTGCTATAGTCTCTATAACCCCTAATTTGGCGTTGACTATCACGCACGTCCAATGAACCATAGTGAGCTGTATTTGGTCTGTCTAACAGCTTCTTCTGCGAATGTGATAAATATTTATTTTCATTGTAGTTGTAAGACACATTTTGACCAAAAGTATTACCAGAATCTATGTATTCGGATGGTTTCTTTGGTATCTTGTGTCCTCTGTCGTCTGACCAAACCTCTCTAGGCCTACCAGAAGCCTGTGCAACACCCTTCGCCAATAATGGACCATCTTTATGCAGAAGCAAACTTGGCAAAACAACGCACTTGATATAAGGACCGCTTTGAACATATGGCTTGTAAATGTCGGTATTCAATGCTTCGCCATTTTTCGCCAGTGTCCCAAATACGACAGGAGGGTCATGTAGCTGTAATGCGTATGTATTGATACATATATCATTCAAAATGTAGCGTCTTGAACACCACTTGCATACTTATGAATGTGTCATTTTAAGGTTTATATTATTCTAGAAATATGCTACATTTTATACATACACTTAAAACTGTTATCTAGCTATATTTCAATTGGCTTTAAACATTTGAATATGTTTTACAGTTAATGCTTAAGGAATATTAAGAAACACACTATCAGACTAAGTGAAAATTTATTATGATTTGTCAGTATTAGAGGAAGTCGGGTTCCTGTGATTTATGCTAAGATGTGTATTACATTTTTATAGAATTGTATTAATGATTAAAATAAATTATATAACTCACAGCCATAGGCCAGCATAATTCCAAACATCCTTGAACAAACTTTTTTGTCTGGTGAACGTATTTCAAATTTCTTCTTTCATATTTCCTCAAGATTGAAAGATACATCTGAAAAAGGTTCGTTAACATCTCTGGTAATTATACAATAGCTATTAAGAGATACATAGATAAGACAAATCTTTCAAGTAAACATATACTAGATCTTTTTTGTAACAAATCTCCTAAATTTTCCAAATTTCCGTTTTATTATAATGTTAATTGTTAGGTATTTTCACTTGTTATTGGGCTGAAGACTGCCATATTAGCCTGAGGTCAAAGGCGAAAGGCAAATATGACAGTATAAAACCCAATAACAAGGCCATTGTGAAAACACTTAATTATTGACAATTTTATTAATTAACTACTGTACACATAATCTAATAAGTTAAGCACTTGGTGAGCAAAAAATAACTTATGTGAAATTCCGATGTTGTGAGGTATTGCAAATGATGTTCTTGTTTTAAAAATATTTCGGAAACGGGTATCTCATCAATTCAAAATGGCAATTTTTTCAATGAAAAAAGAGTAGATTCATAATGGCCGAGCATGAGAGCCAATCAAAATTCTCCAAACTCATAATAGCAGAATTAAAATAAGACTGCTTAAAATAACATAGTTACATGATAAAAGAACTTCGTTTTATAATAAAAGAAGATTCCGGTGTCGAAAAACTGGTTGTTCACACATAATTGCAAATAATATATTTAAGCGACATTTCAATATTTTTTTAAATTTTTTGAAGGTACACGAACTGTGATATGTTAGTTTAACGTAAGATTGTCTGTTATCTTCTGAAGACAAGCACTCTTGACTTTATAATATTAAAACAGAACTTGACTTTCAAAGCTAGAAATTACCTCATAAACATGACTATTTGACATTGAAGAAGTTTTTTTTCGACAATCTTTCAGCTGTTTTATAACATTGTCCGGACAGGTGGCACGTGTAGGTTCCTTTAACATAAAAATATATTTTAATTAAGTATTTGCAAAAGTCTCGTTTAGATTATTCCTAAAAGGTTGTTTTAAAAAATACGACTGTATCATTTGCAGATATATCAGACCTACAAAGTCTCAATAATATACATAAAGAGCAACTACATTTGTCATTTGTCACTTTGTGATTAACTTGAGATGCATTAATTTTACCAGCTTGACGTTTATTGTAACAATATTGTTTTTTTCTTTTAATTATAACAAGTTTCAGAAATGTCAAAGAATATTGAAAAATGCAAATTTTAAAATGTCCCCTCACAGAAAAATGCAATAAT